TAGCTTCAAACAGCTAAGCTTCATCAGCCGTGCATTTACGGTTAGCAACCGAGGATGTTTTCATACAAATACAAATCGTGCATTTAATATCAGTAAATAATTGACTCGAAAGTATCCTAGAAGTTTGCCGTGCAAAGTCATAAATGATAAAATTAAATTTTAAAAACAGCAAATATTTCAGTTGATTTTAATATATTTCAATATATTTTTTGTTTAAAAACACAAAAGGATTAAAAACAAGCTCTTACAACTAACATGACTAACAAAATTTTCTCCTGGTGTAAGCAGAGATAATACAGGTAGTACAGTTTTCATAATAATACCTATCTAATTTTTCAATCTTGAGTTGAAAATATGAGGCCCACGAATCTTATAGGTCACCTGAAAATCATGCAAAAACATTCCGTCTATTGAATTTGGTTCGTGTTAAAAACCAAGGGCCATGAAATTAACAATTTTGAAAGAGGCATCATTGCCTATCATAATTATACACTAACATATATTTCATTGGTTTAATACCCAGGAGCAGAGGAGAAGATTTTTAAGAATTAATTTTCAATATAAAATCATTAGAGACCTGCCCTGACAGCAGAAACTTTGACCCAGGGCAATGGATTTCACAATTTAGGAAGAGGCACCCTTCCTCATCATAACCAAATTGTATGTACATAGTTCATTTGGGGTTTGATATTCAGGAGCAGATCAAGAGGAGAAAATTTTTAAAGAAATAAATAATACATTTCCCTGAATGTTCCACAGAGCCCAACTCTAACACCAGAGCCCCTGACCCTGGGTCCATGAATTTCACAATTTTGTTAAAGTCTCAATGCTGATTACAATCATGCCAACAGCTTGACTGCTTGTTGTTCAGGAGTAAAGAAGAAGATTTTAAAAGATTGCATTACTTTTATTGGTTTTGGCTCCACCTCTCAGGCCCCAGGGAGACAGGGACCACAAATTTCACAATATTTGTTCCCATTCACCCATAGATACTATTTGCCAAAATTAGTTGATATTGAATAAGTGGATTCAGAAAAGAAGCTGAAAAGGTTTAAATGAAAACGCACGACGGACGAAGCACGACGACGGACAAAAACATATATCAATAAGTCACCTGCGTGAATCAGGTGACCTAAAATGTCTCTGCTACATTTGTATATAATATTTTGTTTCTCGATTGAAATTAAAACATACATGTAAGTACTCTGCATGGTACTGACTTTGAATATAAGGATGAAGCTACATGGTTGGGGACAGAGATAGAAAAAATTATATATTTATATAAGAAACGTTTTAGTTATTCAACTCCATATCAGGAAACTCCGAAGAGATTAATCTATAATTTCAAAGAAATGCACAAAAGAAAAGAAAGTAAAGATGCATATGTCTTCATGTATCTCTTTAATATTCTCTAGACAATTTATTAATTTATGAATTTTTGTTCTTGAATACTGCTCGTTATCTCCATATCTTTCATACCAAAACTTTATAGTTCTCCTATACCCCGCATGTATTTTTGAGAGAAAAAAAATATTCTTGAAATTGAGTCTGAGGAAAGATGTCTTAGATTTCATTAAATATGCAGCAGGGTTTGTTTTACTCCTGTTCGTCAAAAGGAAATGGAAGCAAAAGAGGCAGGTTTTACCTGGACCCAAATAAAAAGCATAAGTCAAACAGAGTACGATGAGGCGGTGTGGTTGCTGCCCTAATTTGCTCCCTACGGAGCGATCAGGAATACAAGTAAGTCAAGTTGTCTAAAACAAATCATTCAAGTCTTTCTAAATATGCCTCTCAAATTCTATCAAATTGGAATTTTTCATTTTTATCGTCTGGTGAGCGAGGGTTCGGGATTGGTGGATTGTGCCTTTTATAGTACAGAGACTTAAATGACTGTGTGCAAGTGTTAATGCAGGTAACTTATAAATAATTCAGAATGAAAAAAATGCAATATCGACAATATCTCAACTTTCATTTATTTGTATCCAGGACATTGAAAGAAGACAATATAATAAATGTAATTGGCCTAAATTGTAGCAAAAACTCAGCTTTTTTTACGTTTGTTAAACAAGATTACTTTTGTTGGGTTGATCAATCCCTATGACACATTTAAATCCATTAACCAGATAAAATAAGCCACCTCAAAAGGCATTTAATGGCTTTTACATCTAAGAGACTAGAATTAAGTTGCAGGGATAATACAAAAACGTAGCACGGAATATTTGAATGAAAAGATATAGTTATCATAGAGATAGCTGTCATGTTGTCTCCTTTATTCCTAGACGCAAATTGTCCTTACAAAAAAATAATTGCAATGAGATTTAGCTTAGTTGACAGATATTTCTGATATGGCAATCTATATTTGTACTTTTGTGCAAATCTCTTTTTTAAACTAAAGTTGATACAAGTGACGCTCTAGATCTTATTCACTTGCATTGATATCCGGATTGCATATCATGTCAATCGCTGTCTATGCAAATATTGGTCAACAAAAGAAGTGAAACTTTGTCGGATAAAAATATTAAAATATTTAAATATTTTCCCGTAAGGTATTGAAAAATAATTTGTTGTAAATAAATAAATGAATAAACCTCTACTGATTATCACTGTGGTTGTTCGAGACGCCTTCAATGATACAAGTATTATTTCTGCAGAGTATCTGCTCACTCAGTACAAAAATGAATTTTGTCACTATTCACATTTTAGGAACTTTATAAGGATAAGGATTTTAAGGTTTAGGTTTATAGGAAATAATGTTATAACGATAAATGGAGTATATCTTGCATCATGCAGGTTGTGGCCACAATTGCAAACTCAAAAATGTATTATTTAAAGAAGTTAAAATTGTCCTCATCATCTTTATAAATGCCAAATTTATGGACGAAACTATTAATTACGTTAAATCGTAACAATTAAAACATATAATATCGATTTCAATGAAGTGGACCGTTTTGCATTACGTCACATATCCTATTTTGCCATATGTGCTTAAAGTAAATAGCACATGCTCCTGCAAGCTTTATGTTTCTTTTTTCTATTATAATACGTTACACGAGCAACAAATCTGGGAAAAGGAGACATTATCAATATGCGGTTAAAGTATAGGTTTGCAAACGGCACACTTTACTTGTAACGATAAAAATAAGGCCTCAGTCGTACACATACGAATATGTAGCCGATTTTTTACCAAGAAAAATTGTTTGTCAAGAACGGAAAAAATGGTTTGAATGAAAGAGTGAGTCTAAGATTTTTTTTAGTATCCTTTAAAGTCTCCGAGATTCGTCTGGAAGCGAATGCATTCCCACGATGTTATGACCCAATCATCTGATATAGCGACTGTTTTTATTGCGATGTGAAATAAATATGTGTCCTCCTTCTATTTTATGTCTGAATGCTGAAAAAAGCTAAAGAAGTCGAAAGACAGTGCTTTAAACATGTACAAGGACAATAAGGTTACATGTAAGAGTATATACAACAAAAAATCTCAGTCGCTCTTATCATTTCCAGTCTTTTATTTTTCTTTTCTTTGCCCCCGTAATCGAAAATTCTTGGTTCTATAATTATTGTCATGTCTGTCCATCTGTCTGTCTGTTTGTCCGTTTATCTGTCTGTGAGCGGAAACGTTAACCTTACTCGTATTTTTTTGAGTGAATGGGGCTGTTGCTTTCATATTTTACAGGTGTATTCCTTGTGACAAGACTTGTCTTTGAGTACCCTCTCCTACTTTACAAAATATGGTATTTTTAAATAGACTAATTTTCCTTTTACATTGAAGGATGCTTCGTGGTAGGTTGTGGCAACCAGATAATGCCAGTAATACGATTAAAATGTTTCGGGAGAAAAAACTTGCTGGCTATCATGTGAAGAGAGGAAGTCGAGAGTATGTTGTCTGTTTTTCCTTACTAGACAGCCTGTTAAAAAGAGTGGCAATTGTTTAAAACACCTATTTTTATAAACAAATTATCAAGCGTATTTTAACTATAAAGATGTTTTTTTCACAAGAGAATAAACTCCCCAGGCTGATCAAATTTGTATTAAACCTGCACGAAATGAAGTCAAAATGAAATTTCAAAAAATTATATATACATACTAAAATTGAATTAGTTTAGCTCGTGCCAAGCTTATACTATGGGTTCATCGGGAGTTTGAACGTTGTTGTTACATATTTTCATTATCTTATTTCGTGAGAGGCACCTGACGTTACTTATTTTTCTTTGAAAAAAATACAACCTAATTATATTTAAAGAAAAATAAGTAACGTCAGTTGCCTGTGTTTCCTGATTACGCCTGTTACCATCGTCGGATGCCCACGGATGATTGCATCTTTTATGCATCATGCGTAAAAGGCGAGAACACCCGTCTTTATCCAACAATGTTAGTTATCATGGTATATATTTTAGATCCGCCCTAGTAACATGATAAAACTACCCACAAGTATCTTAATTGCAGCTTCTACAGATTTAAAATAAATTCTATTTTATACATTGAGGGTTGTATAACACAGTACAAAACAAAACAAGGGCTTTGTCATTCCGAAAAAGAAAGATTTTTTAAAGAAATGTTCTTTAAAATAATCATAATTTATATTATAGTTTGCTTAGATTGCTCCTTTGTTATTTTTCTCTCTGGTTTTCTTTTTCACATATTTAAGATATAGTAACTTACACCTTATTTTCTTCGTATTCATTTCACACACAGGCCTATAAATTCAAATTAAATCAATCAATATGATGTTTTTTGCATATTATTTTACGTAAAATAGTCAGTGAACACTCGATCTTCAGTACATACATGTATATGTTTAGGTATCTAAGAATTCATGATATTTGCAATAAACATACCCCGGTATTTAATGCTGAAAATATTGTTTGCCAGCGCTAAGTATTTTAAAAAGGCCCCACAAGAGGCGCATATTATCTTGTACCCAGTTAACTTATTTCAATGCCCTGTTTCAAGGACATCTGTCTGTTATGTACCTACAAGTAACTTATTAGAGTTGCCTGTCAGATTAATTCCTCTCTCTCTCTCACTAGGTATCTGTATACACACACTTTGTTGGTCATCCATAATCCCACCCAGAGTAGGTGAGTTTTGTCATCATAACTCAGGGACACGGGTCTGGCTATACCTTGTTCTTGTGTCAATATCAGTGACAGAAAGTAGCCATCTTTGTCAATCATCTGCACTGAGCTAGCGTAAGGATCACACACCAGGATGTGCGACATTACGTTAGTATAGATTCCTCGTGGTGCCAGTCCTGATCCTGATGGAGGTCCTTTGTAGGAGAACAGATGTCTACCTCTAAAATTTGTCACCACTACACGGTCAAAATCAGATATAATAACATCCCAATTACCGTTCTCTGTGATATACCAAGGTCTGCGATACAATCTCCTCTTTCCGTTTCGGTATTGTATTGTCTGTATGAGCCGCCCTGTGTCGGTAAACCGTGATACCTTTATCATTTCTCTCGGATCATCCCTGTACACGAGTACAAGTAAATCTCCATTAAAAGGAGAACAGAATACGCAACGTGGTTTCTGTTTTCTTTATCAGTGTAGACTGTGTTTTGTTATCTTTTGATAATGTGTTGATGTTTCCATACCAGTCTATATAGATAAGTTCGCCAGTCAAATTCACGGTGTGTACACAGAATATATCAAAAGCTGTCAGATGATACAGTGTATCACCTTCTGTGTTTATTAACATAATATTGTCCATGTCACTGATCCAGACCTTGTCTGATGTCACGCAGGAAATGTGTGTTACACATCTAAAACCTTTCACCGTCACAGATATAAGTAAAATTGGGCAAGACAACAGGTAGAACAGATCTTCATTTTTCGGGATTTCTCTTGCAGTCTTTATAATTTGGACTTCACTTAGCAACCTAATCACATCCTCCAAGTTGATTTCATCAATCACAGAGAGCAAGGTGCGTTGTGTCAGATTTGGGATACCCGTTATCTTAAGGGCAATGGTTTTCTTTAGAAATAAGAAGAATTTCACTGGTTTGTTTGCTAATTGTTCAAATCGGTGTTCATAATTCTCTATGCTTGCAAGGTGTCTGTTAGTTGTTTTATTTGTTGTAACCTATGCATCAGAAAAGATTTCTTCTGGGTTTTAACATCACATATTAATGTTTCTATATTGTTCTTTAGTCTATGGGGTTTTGTCAACATCTCTGAGTGAATAACAGAAATTTCCACTGATAAGTTTGTTACATTAGATTTGATTTCAGTCAGAAGAAAACACCTCTCATAGAGAATATTATTTCTAATGTTATGAATTATTTCTCTGTTTTGATGATGGTTTCTTTTATATGATTTTCTGATGTCCAGTGCTCTGTGTTTTATGTGTTCTTTACATTGGAAACAGAAGGGAAGTTCACACTCTTGACAGTACATTTCATACATTCTATCTGGGTGTATCATACAGGTCTCTTGTTTTGGGATATATCCATACTTCGTGCGGTAAATCAAAACATCGTAATAGATAGAATTTAAATTAATAACATGCTTTTCATTACACTGTAGACACAGGTCATGTTTACACGTGTTACAGTAGAATTCTGTGTCTCCCTCACATTGAAAACACTGCCGTACTTGACACTGGGTGCTGAATCCTAGGAAGTCCATAATATGGATCGTCTATGTTACACGTAAAAACACAATCTGCTGAATTATAAAATAAGAATTGCATACAGATTTTTTTTCCAGAATGAACACATCTCGAAAAAATAAATTCTATAAGAATTGTTACAAATTGCATTTATAATTATGTAAATATTTGAATATCAAAATATTTGTTATACTCAGCGATCATGATAATTATAGATTATAGTTATAGTGGAAAACGAAACAGGCGCCAGTCGCCAAGGTCATCAATCAAGCGTTATGATGTTTTGAACAGATTTTATTGAGGTTAATAGATACTATTCATTTATCAAAATATTGATTTTGTATGAAAATAAACAAATCTTACCTATCCGCCTCGACTCTTCAAAAAGTTTGCCGTTTTCAGAGCTGTTGACATTTTTTTTTTCCTATTAGGCCTATTAGGACCGAAAACAGTCTGATAATTTTACAGATAGAATTGTGTGAGACATATACACCCCTACTAATTTGTTCGGAACCTTTTATTTTTCGGTGTTCTGCAAATTATAAAACCCGATGGGTTCAGAGTAGCTCTGGCAGTGGCTCTGGCGAGAGTTAGCGAGACTACAGCGAGATAGGATAAATTATCTCGGAAATGCGGCTAGGAAGTGATTACAACGTGGAGACATGGTAAACAGAAAAGTTATGTTGCGTTTTAGTTTTCACCACTCTACAATGTATCATTTTGAAGAAATGTACTTCAATCGATATCTCTTTGAATTCATTCAAATTTAAATTATAAGTATTCTCTATGATACAATTTTTTGCTGTCATACATGAATTAAAATTTCTTTTTATACAAATATTTTGCATGGGAACTGGGACTATATTTTGTAGCGTCAGATTAGCAAATGGGGCACCAGTGTGACTTTAACTGACAAATCAGCTGAATGAGAATTGCATTATGGGTTACTACGAATACTACAGGAATTTTACGTTTGATAAATGTCGGTGAATACAATTGTCAGGTGGATTCCCTGGCCAACACACGTGATCACGAGTATAGTTGTGTAAAAAGTGTTTTGTCCATTTAAATGCATACGAGAAGCTGCTCGTTATCCTTACCCTTGAAGTACCGGTGTTCTGAACTTGACACTAACCACTATTGGTTTTATTAAACATATTTTTTTTCTAGTTAACAACAAATTAAAAACGCCCGTGATATCTTTCATAGTTTCTAATGTTTGCATTTTGTTCATGAGAACATTTTTTTTAATTTTGCCTTCCATTGACATGATCACAAATTGACCTGAACCACGTGTTCGACGTAACATGTAAACTAGTATTTGGCGTAAACGTCTTCAATCAACAATTGGTCAGTTGCTCGTGGTTAGATCATCTGCGCATAAATAGCAAAAGCCATACCAGGCAAACATATGTTTGTCAGTGTAGATGATCTTACACATTTTTCTACCAGCGTATCGGTCACTAGTGAGCTGTAATTTTTGTTGTAAATTACGGTAAGATATATTAATTGTTTACCCCCCTTTTTTAGCCACCCATTTCTGTTGAAAATCATGAAAGTCTTTCAGAAAGTTCTGGAAACATTTTTTACAAGACATGTTTTCAAAAAACAGACTATAGCAATTTCCTGTTTACTGCCAATTTTATTTATAAAACCGGTTCTACCCTATAACCTTTGAATAGGTAAACCTAGACCACGTGTCTTTAATTTAAATCACAATAACGTTAGTAGGGGGGATATACATGTACAGGGTGTCCCATAATATATGATACCATTCTAAATTATTGTCAGAAACGCAAGTCTTGGCCAATTTTTTTGAAATTTGTCTCATTAAATATTTGAATAAATACAATTTTTAGCAACAAATAATTTCAGTTAAAAACTTTCACTTAGTTGGAATAATATAGCCACATAACTACGTCAAAAAATTGCTAAAAATTGCATGGAATTTTTTCAAGGTCATATACTGATGAAATCAAACAATTGAATTTTACATATTCTACTTCAGAGTTCCCATGTCTCAAAAACTGTAAACGGTTATACTAGTATTATTTTTTTAATAGGACTTTGTATCAAAGGCACATGATGTTAGAATACGACGGTTGTTCGAAAAGTTCATGGACTGATGCGATACGATTAATAGTAATACTAAGTTGTTAATGCTTACAAAATTTTAAGGGAACATCGAACAACAAATGTTAAAGAAATGTTGAACATTTCAGCTTGATACCTTCAATATTTAACAAATTATCCAAAAATAAAAAAGACATTATATGATCACGTGGCACTGTCGCCATTTAATTTCATAACGTCCTTATTTCTCAAGGTTCGCATTTTTACCTCAGATACAATTATCTTGATGACATTCCTTGGAGTTAAAGATTTTAATCGGTCTTGTTTATTGAGTTGTACAAAGTCATAAACAGCTGATAGATCCATAGTGAAATATACATAGTGAAAGATCCTCTTTTGATTATAACAGCTTATTTGTTGTCGGACTTCAATATCTATCACACATAATCAACGTCACTTTTCGACGAGACAAATCTCGAACACCTTTACTACAAATCGACAGTAACTTTTGCATCTCTCGTCTCTCTAATCGTTTTTGGCATATGAAAACAAGTACTTTGGATGCAATTTATTTTTTTTTCACTTTCAGTAGCCCATTTAAATACTTCCTAGGTATATGCCAGTTTTTCCAGGGGGTGAAACTTTATCGAATATTGGAAAAAGAAACCCACCCTTTTTCTGACGTCATTACAACCCATTAATTTTTTTGACATTTTATAAAAAATGTACGATAAAATTTCAAAGAACTTACAGAATGGGGTAAAAATTGTAAATTTTACGACACACTTGTATCATACTACATGACTGAATTAACATGATTTTTAGATGACAAAACAATGATCACTAAAAAAGAAGTCTCTCATTCAGATAGAAAAACGTAATCTTCGAGGATGCGCCGCCTGGACTTACTATTACTTAAAAAACATCAACAATCTATTCAAAAATAAATCTAATGATGTATAGTTTATTAAATAAATAAAAAAAAAGATTGAAAATGTTAAAAAAGACATTAGTGTATCTTAAGTGGTTTAAATTCTATGGCGCTAGTCCACGAACTTTCCGAACAACCCTTGTACATATATGAAATGGCATATCTTATCATAGGTAGGTATACAGGTACACCGAAATATTTAATTGCGTGATACATAGAATAAAATACTGATATTTTGGTACAGTGTACATATTAAATAATAAATTGCAACAAATGTTCAATTACATGAAGTGTTTAAAATTCTGAAATGACATCTAGCAGCCAAACAAGCTTCATATTATGCAAATTATTTTTTAAAAAATAGAGGAAAATGTCAAGTTACAAGCATGTTTTTTTTTTATTTTTAAGAAATATAACGTACAATTAGGGATGACAATTTGTAACCGGTTAACCGATTACTCGGTCGGAACGATTGCAATATATCGGTTGGAAAATTTGTAATCGGTTATAGTCGGAAAAAATAAAATATATTAATTTTATCAAATTCTCCAATAAAAAAATCATGTAGAACATAAGAAATTTCTGTATAACTGTTGATAAATCAGCATTTTGCATATTTAAGCTGACTTTGATGTAATTATAGTTCTCCGGATTGAGATTGCGGGGGCACAATTGTAATTGGTCAGTTTGTGTTTGTAAAGTTAATTAGTTAAAGCACCAGGTCGTTACACTGACCGTTCACGTGTCTGAATTGATAATTAAATCACCGTTGTGAACTGCTTAGTATGTTTGTTTTTTGCAGTTATCTATCGAGTAAATAAATAAACAAACTTTGCAAATTAATTAATGTATTTAAGACTTAGTTTTAATTATGGTAACAACGCAGAATGAATATTCTTAAAATCTGCCTTGAAAAATTATAATGATTTCTCAAACGTGATTCTTGGTTTCCTTATTTTTCTCTAGTCTATATTGTAAGTGAATTAAAATATACAGACATGACGATTGTTTTGATCAAGTATCGCGACAAATAAAATGAATTAACATCTAGACTTTACCATGAATAAGGTTACATAGGATAAATGTATGTACATCTCAAAATGCGTATTTTGATACGGTTAACCGGTTAATCGGTCGGAACGTCTTACGACTAACCGATTAGCAATTCTGTATTCGATTGCCATCCCTACGTACAATTAATTTAATATCGCTGTTCACATTACTTATACAATTATCGTGAAAAATTATAATGAGTCACATCTAACATTGTGTACAAGAATCCTTTTAAATGTAACTATTCCTTTTATGTCAATGCCCCTTTTCATCGTGTTTTTGTGCGTACAAGTATCATATTAGTTAATTACAGTTAACAGTCAGATTAAGTCCTTTCTTTCTATGTATCTGTATATACATACTCTGTTGTTAAACCATGTTCCTACCCATAGTAGGTGAGTTTTGTTATCATAACTCAGAGACACTGGTATGTCTATACCTTGATGTTGAGTCAATATCAGTGACAGAAAGTGGCCATCTTTGTCAATCATCTGCACTGTATTGGTATTTTCATCACACACAAGGATGTGTGACATTACGTCTGTACAGATTCCTTTTGGCTTCAGTCTTGGTCCTGATTTAAGTCCTGTGTAGGTGAACCGATGTCCACCTCCTCGCTCTGTCACCACTAAACGATCAACATCAGACACAATAACATCCCCATTACGGTTCTCCGTGATATATCTAGGTTTCCTGAACAGTCTGTTTTGTACTGTCTGTATGAGTTGTCCTTTGTCGTTATACCGTGTTACCTTGGCCATTTCTACAGGATCACCTCTATACATCACAACAAGTATATCCCCACTGGAAGGAGAGCAGAATACACAACGTGTTTCCCATAGTTCTGATTTCTCTATCAGTGTAGAAATAGTTTTGCTATCGTTGGATAATGTGTTAATGTTTCCATACCAGTCTATATAGATAAGTTCACCAGTCAAATTCACGGTGTGTACACACTTTAAATCTGAAACATCAAAACCTTTCAGACGATATAGTATATCACCTTCTGTGTTTATTAACATAATATTGTCCATATCACTGACCCAGACCTTGTTTGGTGTCACACGGGAAATATGTCTTACAGATCTAACATTTTTCACTGTGACAGATTTATATAACCTGGGCCTAGACAACACGTACGGCAGATCTTTATTTCTCAGATTTTTTCTTGCAGTCCCTATGGTATGGACTTCACTTATTAACCTGATGATATCATCCAAGTTGATTTCTTCAGTCAAGGAGAACAAAATATGTTGTGTAAGAAGTAGGGTACCCTTGTCCTTAATGACATGGGTTTTCTTCAGAAATGAGAGGAATTTTACTGGCTTTTCTGCTAATTGTTCAAATCTGTGATCATAGTTCTCTATGCTGGCAAGGTGTCCTTTCATTATTTTATTCTGTTGATTTAATCTTTGCATCATAAAAGATCTCTGCTTGATTTTAATATCACATATCAGAGTGTCTACAAAGTTCTTTAGTCTCTGGGCTTTCAATGACATTTCTACCTGACTTTCTGAGATTTGCACAGGACAATTTTTTACATTAGATTTGATTCCAGCCAGGAGAAAACATCTCTCATAGAGAATATTACTTCTAATGTTATGAATGATTTCTCTATGTTGTTGACGTTTTGTTTTATATGATGATTTCAATCCCAGTACTCTGTGTTTTCTGTGTTCTTTACATTGAAAACAGACAGGTAATTCACATTCCTGACAGTACATTTTGTATATTCTATCTGGGTGTCTCACACAGGTCTCTTGTTTTGTGATATAATCATACTTCTCAAGGTAAATCACAACGTCATGGTAGATGGTATTTAAATCAATAACATGTCTATCTTTACACTGTAGACACAGGTCATGTTTACACGTGTTACAGTAGAATTCTGTGTCTCCTTGACATTGAAAACATTGTCGCACTTTACAGCACGAAGAAAAGCCTTTTTTGTAATATTGTGTTCTATATAACAACACTTTATGATCTTTTGTCCGTGAACTTGTATCATGTTCCTTTTTACACTGTAGACACAGGTCATGTTTACACGTGTTACAGTAGAATTCTGTGTCCCCCTGACATTGACAACACTGTCGTACTTTACACTGGGTGCTGAATCCTAGCATGTTCGTTATAATGGATGATCTATTTTACATGTACGAGGGTTGTCCCATAAAATCGTGGACAAAGCGTTTTTCTCGAAAAGTATTGGGCGCACTAAGCTGAAATTTTCAGTAAATGTTTATTCATCATATTTAAGTGAATCATAATGTTTTTTATAATATATATTCAAAAATAAAGATTTTATTCTGCTTGAATGTGCACAAGGTATTGTCCTACGGCGCACGGTAAAAATAGCAAGGTTATATTAGAGAAGACATAAGAATTAATTCGTAATAAAAGTTTTCAAAACATAAGATTAGGATGAAAATTATCCTTATTCCATTCCTTAATCAATTCTGTCATCTTTTAAAAAATTTCAAGGCATTTGGTTAATTTTTGGCAGTTTTCCGAGCATTTGAAATGGGAAAGTAATAAACACAATGCACGAAAAATGGCGACTTTTTATGACGTTACGGCGCACCGGAGAGCAGTTCAGAGAGATTAGGATGTTGTAATGACGCCTTAAGAGACTTTAAATGAATACAGAAGAAAGAAAATGTGAAAATTATCACCAGATCTTTAGTATATAAATGAAATGAAAGTTTTCTTAGTGAAGTCTTCGTGGTCGAGTCCCCAGATAGTACAAAACATATGGACAGACTGCCATTTGTAATAGCAAAGGACGCTGTCACTGTCGACGGTCGATGTGAGATTCTCTTTTAGTTGAATGTTGGTGAGAATACTGTGTGTAACTTGCTAATAAATATTCAGAAGATCGCATGAGTGTGCCACATTGGTTTCTTAACTGGTTATAGATACTCACATATGTAAATCAATAAAATTTCTAAATTTAAGTGGGGCTTATCCAACTTTAAGTTTAGCAAAGATGAAACGTGACGCTGTTTTAGACACTTTGACGTTATCATCCGTGCGCCGTAGGGCGATACAGTACATAACATAAAATATCACAATTTGTTTACCTATGCATATATATATTTGAAATTTGCTATGTATATTCATAATTTATCTACTAAAAAGTGGTGAAAATTTCAGAACGCAGTGATGATTATTTTTCAAACTAGACAACTTGTCCACGATTTTACGGGACAACCCTCGTAGAAACACAATCAGCTGAAATATAAAATAAGAATTATATACAGTTTATTTGATGATGAACGCATCTTTAAAAAAGAAATTCTCTAGGATTAACAAAATAATATGTATATACCTGTAATTCTCTAAGATTAAAAGATAATATGCATAAACCTGTTAATATCTGTTATTGCGATCACAGCCATAATAATAGAAGATAGCTAGAAAACGAAACAAGCTCCAGTCACGGTTCCCTATCTCACTGTATCTAGCGTTATGATATATGTTTTTAAGCGATTTAATTGAAAGAAATAGGTGACTACTGGTACTATTTATTTATTTACAAATCAGAAATATTAAATCTGTGTGAAAATAAACATATCTTACCTATCCGCCTCGACTCAAGTCAAAAAGCTTGCCGTTTTCAGAGCTGTTGACATTTTTTTGTTTACAACGGGGCGTTCGATATACATGTAAATTAAGGCGCTCGTATTCAGACTGTTTCGGTACATACATGACTGTTTTTATGTTACACATGTAATGCAAAAATACAACACCAAGATATAGACCGCTAATGTTCTTATGACTTAAGAAGGTTGGATCTTGTTATCAAACTTATTGAGAGTTTTTGGGAAAATCAACGCAAAAAATGGGGGTTAGTTAGCTTCCTTTAGCACTACATACATGTAACAATTAATATCACCTTTTCGTACTGTAATCACATCTCCTACATAAATCAACTGTTCAAGTTTTTTCTTTTTTCTTTCTAAATTAATCATTGTAACGTCTTTTTTATTTTGAATACTTGCATTAAATCTTGTGATAACAAAAATAGTTTCAAAATACTTCGCAAGTTCATTTGAATTTTCTGCACTCAAAATTATATTGTTTTTGTGTCATGTCCTACTTCCTTTGAAGTATCTTATAATAATTTGTATAACTTTTTTGAAGAAAATAGACTTTCCATACAATCAATAAATTGCATTGATTGTTTAGTGAAGGGAGGGATATATTTAAAAAAATGACGTTTATTTTGTAGCTCAGCAACAGCAAGCTGAAAAAGAGGTATGTCATTTGTTAGGCAATTTATTTTAAGAAAGATTGCAAAGTTAAGCTAGAAATGTAGTGGAAAATCTTAACAATATTACTATTATTAAATCCTTAAAATATCGTTTCATTTAGACTTTTAACATATTAAATATGATTAAAAAGGACCCCCACAACAATATCTATTTTGATAAACGACGTTCCTAAGACAGATGACTCGCGTTGTGATGGTCATCATGCTCTTTCTGGAAATATCCTTAGCCAACCATCCTATTTCCGAGTTTTTGGTCAATTCTGAAAAATTGACTGTTTTTGTTATAAAATTCAACTTGCATGGTAAGAAATATAAGATTAGGAAAAAAATTAGTGTCTTTGAACAGAATGATTGAGAGCATGTCACATGATCGTCAGGACCACGTGATTCGAGCATGGACACTAAAGAGTTCTAATTCTAAGGTATTTTTCTGCACATAGAGTGATCTGCCCTTACATCTAAATTCTACAAAATAAAAATTTACAATGCATTACTCAATTTTTAATTTATTCAAGTATTCTTAACATTTTAAAGGCCAAGACAAATTAACTGAATGTGTTATTTACATGTATTTTCTCTATTGAAGTAATTAACAGTGATTTCTATTCACCAATACTGTGTTGTCTTTGAACATTTTTCCTGGGGGTAAATGCCACGCAGAATACAGTGAAAATTAGATAAATAAGCTCAATATTAACTCCTTTATACAATATATTTTCTCAATGTCCAAAAAAATTTTAGCACTGGTGTAGAGAGGGTCCTTACAATCAGAGAGGGTTACTATATTAGTATACAAAAATAATGAACACTGAAACTCAATTTTACTTGTTTTATGAAAGTTATTTAATTTGTTACTTTTTGATCACCCTTCGTTATTGATATATTTGCCAAATTAATGACAGATAATTTAATGGATAATATAGGACCAGCATAGAACATTTTACTGTACAAAATTACTCTGTGTGCAGGCTGCTTGTAAATAAATATCCAAACATAACAATACTAAAGACAAATATTTGATATTTTTCTTTAAAAAAAATTCTGCCACAAAATATTTTTTATTGCTTTATTTTGAAGCTTTTTTCCGTAACTCTATATACAAACATACCAAACAATTTTTAACCACTTATCACCACAATTTCTCACATCCACACCTCATATCAGCCACGTAGCATCGTTTTTGAAAGTGGGCAGCCTGACAAAAAAAATGACTTAACTGAAAAAGTTGACAAGCAAAAAAAAAAAAAAAAAAAAAAAAAATGGGGTAGATGCAAAGTTTTCTCAATGTCAACTCCTTTCAGTTACAAATTCTTTTACAATCTGCAGTCTCAAGTGGAGGGGGGGGGGGTGGGGGGCTCCCCCCACCCGTTGCTACGTGCCTGTGTACAGCGCCCTTTCTAGACTTAAGTAGACGTAGTACATAAATATAAACATAAGACAGTTAATTATCTGATTTATCCAAAAGACGAATGTTAAGATGTAGATTTTGTCCTTACACCGAAACACTTATTTCTTAAGTAACCTAACTGCATCAATAAATAATGGTTTATATTTTGTGATTTTGAATACATACAAAATGTAGTAAATAAACTTTTTCGCAACTAATAAAAGGAAATTTTCAAAGCGAACCTCTTTAAGAGGTTATTTTATATTACATCCATTTATATTTCCATTTTTATTTGTTTTCTCTGAAATAATAGATTAGCAGGAATTCTGTACAGTGTACAGGTTGTGATTTTTTTTTTTTTTTTTTTTTTTTTGCATTCAGATCTTATTTTTTTAATTAAATTTAATGAGATTTAAAGGACAAGTGCACTTAAGCAATAGTAAATGGGCCCTTTTTATGTGCTATTTTACTTTAAAATATATAACCAATTCGTTCTCTATTGGTAATAGTTAGATACTAGTGGATATTTCTAATTAAATAGCATGTTTAGCATAACTAAAAACCTAGGTAATCAGAGATTACAGAGCTCACCTCAACGAATGTTGTCTTCAAGTAAGGCAAAGTCACACAATTAACCAACAAAAAATGTACATTTCAAAAATGAAAATATTTAAGCAATTTTGATCTGATACTTTGAAATAGACCTACATAAAAAATTTAATCTAGTTCTTCTTCATGAAAATGTAATCAAAATCCAGCATCTGAAGCAAATTTGAGAGTTTTCATCTCTTGATGCAACATTTGTGCAAGTTTGGTTTATACAATGTTATATAAGCCTTATAGTTTTTGGAAATAGACCTGCAACCATAACTTTTACCTGGTCTATTATCTGAAAAATGTATCTCGAATTCAGCATCCGAAGCAAGTCCATTAGTGTGCATCCTAAGATGTATCGTCCATGCAAGTTTGCTCATTATAGGGCTCATAGTTAATTGGAAATGAAACATGCATCAAAAACTAACATTTTCACTCATCCACAAAAAGTAGGTCAGATTCAGCATCCGAAGCAAGCCTGGTAGTGTGCATCCTTAGATGTATCATCCATGCAAGTTTGGTCATTAAAGAACTCATAGTTACTTGAAAATGAAACCTTCACCAAAAACTTTAACCTGTTCACTCAACCAGAAAATGTAGGTCAGATTCAGCATCTGAAGCAAGCCCTGTAGTGTGCATCCTTAGATGTATCATCCATGCAAGTTTGGTCAACATAGGACTTAAAGTTACTTGCAAATGAAACCTGCACAAAAAAATTTAACCTGTTCACTCAACCAGAAAATGTAGGTCAGATTCAGCATCCGAAGCAAGCCCGGTAGTATGCATCCTTAGATGTGTCATCCATGCAAGTTTGGTCAACATAGGGCTTATAGTTACTTGGAATTAAAACCTGCACCAAAAACTTTAAC